TGCCCTTCCCCCTCTTTCTTCATATTCCGTGGCGGTGCTCAGGTGTGGGCATCGATGGCGGAAACGACAAAGACTGGGAAGCCAATGCTTGCAAAATCCAGCTTATCAAACAGAAGGGGAAGGTGAAGGCTCTGGACGAAGAGGTTCACAGTATGTATTTCCCCTTCATTCTTTGCCTGTTTTCTTTCCTTGAAATGTGCTCTCATCTCATCTGTGTTTTGAATATCACCTCGTTTACCCAGAAATACTGTACTTCCAAATAACTGTGTACAAGGTGCCAAAAATGTAAATACTTGCATGTGTGCTGTGAAGAACCCGGTGATCCTATGGATGTTGTCACGAAGTTACAGAGAAGTCCTGATTTCTCAAGACAAATGAATCACATCCTATTAAAATAAGAGAGACCTGAAATACGTTTTGAAAACAGATCAGGAAAAAAAAAAAAACCAACCCCCAAACAAAAAATTCCTTAAACTGGGGAAAAGGGTATTGCTGGGAGGTAATTATCAGACCTAGAGCTGGGGCAAAAAAAGAGAAATGCTCTAGTAGCTTCACCAGCTGAATTTTAAATTTTCCTGTGTAATGCTTGTCCCAACTGAAGCTGCCCATCCGAGTAGTGACGGGCTACGCAACTGGCTTCGGGAAGGCCCTGCCGTGTGTGTGTGAGCTTGGTGAGAACGCAGAGTGAGGTCTTCCGCACCCGTTTCTGCCTCTTTATGTTCCCTTGATTTAAACGTTAAGTGCATTAAGTCTGTGCAGAACGCAAAGAACCACGAAGTTGTTGGGTGTGGAGTACAGGTAAGCTGTGTGAGAACGGGAGGATGCTTTTCAGAGGAGCCAGGGTCTCTAGTCTGCGTTCAGGAGCTGCTGTGGTGGTGTAACTTCGCTTTCTTTAGCCCGCACTATGTTAACCTCGCGGCGCAGAGTGCGAGGTTTATCCGAAAGGGAGGTGGGTGGATAACCTTAGCGTAGAGAAAACCAGGAGCTGAAAAGGCCAGGTGAGGTGGTACGTGCATTACAGAAATAGAAGACATACAAAATATTTCTGAAGAAATGTTTGCCTGCTCAAGAAAATTGCAGGATATGGTTTTAGAGAGACTGTGGAGACACCTGTAGAACAAAAGGAATCTTTTTCCCAAAGAAATACTAACATTAATGGTACGCTTTCTAGAGACAAGGGTTAGTGATGAATATTCTAATCACAGCGGCACGTAACCGTGAAATGGGCTGGTTCAGTCACACCTGATGGCGTACGGGAGGTGACAGGAGGGCAGGGTGCACCCCAGAGAGAGAAATTAAGGTTGGATTCTTTCTTAAAACATGATTTTTATTTTGGTGGGGTGAGGAATGCAGGGAGGTTGCTTGCGTGCATCCACGTTCTGAATCCCCTGAAACCACGCTTGGTGTTTCGTTGGATTTGCTGTTTTTCCCTGTCAGCGCTGCTGTCCTGTGGACCCCGGAGGCCCGGCGACCCTCCCACGTTGACTTTGGGGTAGGGACAGCCCCTCAGTACTAAAAACTTCTCCTGCTTCTGCTGCAGAGCAACAGGACATGGACCTCGACATCGAGTTTGATGTGCACCTCGGAATCGCCCATACCCGTTGGGCTACCCACGGCGAGCCCAGCCCTATCAACAGCCACCCGCAACGCTCGGATAAAAACAACGGTGAGCGGGTTTGCCTCAGCAGGTCCTGGGGCACCTGGAAAAGCTCGCTGCCGTCTGCGGTGCCTGGTGTGTCACAGGGAGGGACCCAGGGCAGTGGGTTTATTGCAGGCCACGATGCCAAGCTCAGTTGCTGGGAAGCCGGAGGGGTTTGGACTTGATTTGTGGCTGCGGGGTGCGTCGGCAGCGGTGGATGATCTCGGGAAGGGTTGGGATTAGGGCCCAGAGGGCTGGTGGGTGCACGGGCGCAGTGCAAGGAGGTAAACACAGAATGAAATCAGACGGTAAGAATTTGCGCGGCTATTCTTGGGAATGGAATTTTGTATGCTTTATTTTTTTCCCCGTTTCTGTGTTTTTCATAATCACCGCTGTACGGAATGGGGTTGGTCTGCTCTGTGCTGCTGCAGCGTGCAGCTTGCGTTTGGCGTAGCCGCCCGAGGAGCAGCACCGACGAGCTGGCAGGAGGAGCGTGGTGTTCAGTTGCTGCCC